AGGAAAGCCAGTAGCAGGACATGAGAGAACCATTTCTCCGATAACTTCTTGAGATAAACAAATAGCGCCACGACTTTGGACTTCGTGTCGGCGATCATGAGGTTGTCTTTGTACTGTCGCGGATCAAACACCAGCAGACCCTGAGGTATGTCTGACACGTTTAGCCTCAGAAACTCTCCCGTCTTTGCGAATCGTTTATCCATTTTATTTATTTGTTTAAGTCGTCGGATGTAATGATAATTAGCATAAGATATTCATTTTTTCTTATAATTATAAACACTTCACTCAATATCGCGTATAAACGCACTAAACATCCACTCACTGCTCATTGACTAACAAAATAAAAGTGTTATTTTGAAGTAAAAATAAAACTTTTAGTTAAGGAGATCTAAAAAAGTTGTGTGAATTTCATCGCAAACTCCAATGCATTCTCTACAGAATATTCTCTAAACAATTATAAATAACAAAATAAAAGTGTTATTTTGAAGTAAAAATAAAACTTTTAGTTAAGGAGATCTAAAAAAGTTGTGTGAATTTCATCGCAAACTCCAATGCATTCTCTACAGAATATTCTCTAAACAATTATAAATCGTTTGACAGTAAATTATCTGAATGTTAGCGCAGAATCTGTATTCATGTCTCAATTATTTGGCATTTGTCCCAATTCTTGCCATAAAAACAGTTTAGTTTAGCGTTTAATTTATTTCATTTTAGATTCTGTGACATTGGTTACGGAATTTTACAAAACATTTTTAAAATTGCTAATAATTTACCTAAATTTATATATCGCATCGAGATTTATATAAAAACAATACACACATATCTAAACCATTGAAAAATAATAGACCACGAAATCAATGAACAAATTCTTGGGTGACTTTAGTTTAAAAGTTTTTTAAGATAGTATTCTTAAACCACTAATCAATTCAGACATTTTCATGATTATTTGGCGATTATTTTAATGAGTGGGAGTCGACACTGAAATCAAAGTTTTTTATCTATGATTTGACAATAAAATATTTGTCTGAATTAAATGTTTAGTTATCATAATACAGAATATTCTGTGTCTCACTATTTTATATGAAATAAATATATAAAATATGGTGTCCACAATCATATTCATATTAGTTGACCAAGCTAACAATGACATGAAATTACTATATTGATAATTAAAATATCTGAAACTGATTAAAACCACTTAATTAATTAAATGAACCTTGAAACAATTTCCAACACAACAAACTTGTGGCTCCCATAGGAAACACACGTATTATATGAACACAATGTGAGTGTTGTTTACATTTTGCACACCAATTGTCACACAAATCATACACAGGATTAACGCAACAGCCTATGAATGAGTGCTTATTATAGCCACTGATTGGCAACTGTTTGTCACAATAGACTCGCAAACCACTCGTCAGTCAAACAAATGATCGCATATTTGGCACTCATTTGTCACACCATTTGAAACGACAACTCAATTGTCATCACTTTTTTGACACAATTATCGCTGCATTTGATTTGCTGTGAAATGCCATCAATGGCTCAAAACTAATCGCATTGTGTGTCCCACCAGTTGTCTCGCACACACACGACACGTGCCAACCAATTGATCCCAACCGACAGCCACAGTGAACAGACACCATGCCATGTCCCACATGGTGTCCAACACGGTGTCCCCGATGGACAGGTGGTCCCTGGGAGTCCTACATATCCGTATTCATCCTATTCCTCATTAATCTACTGAACTATATGGACAGGTTTACCATCGCTGGCGTACTCAACCAGATCGAGAAGTACTATGACCTCAACCACAGCCAATCGGGTCTCCTCCAGACGTCATTCATCTTGTGTTATATGGTATTCGCGCCGGTATTCGGCTATTTGGGCGACAGATACTCCCGTAAACTCATAATGATGTTCGGGATCTGCTTCTGGAGTGTGACCACATTCATGGGCTCATTCATCCCCAGCCAATACGCGCCGGCATTCTTCGTGATGCGAGCGCTGGTAGGCATAGGAGAGGCCAGCTATTCGACGATAGCGCCCACTATTATTGCCGATCTGTTCGCACCGGGAGTTCGCTCGCGAATGTTAGGCATCTTCTACTTCGCGATACCCGTCGGCTCCGGTATGGGTTATATCGTGGGCTCAGCGGTGGCCGAGTGGACGGGCGACTGGAAGAACGCGCTGCGAGTGACCCCTGGGCTGGGACTGGTGTGCGCTGTCATGATCTCCGTGTTGGTGAGGGAGCCGTCGCGGGGAGAGTCCGAAGGGGTGAGCGGTGACAGCACTGAGAAGACATCCATCGCCGACGATATTAGGTATCTGTTGACCGTTCGCTCGTACATCTGGTCGACCATAGGCTTCACGTGCGTGTGTTTCGCTGTGGGGGCCCTGTCCTGGTGGGCGCCCACTTTCATGAAGCTCGCCTACGAAGTTCAGGGCGACAACAAGTCTGACGACTGGTCTGTATTTGAATTATTGTGACATTTATTTGTGGTTTTTATTGAATGACTAATTAAATGGTTTTATGCGAAGGATTGGACTCATATTCGGTGTGATTGCGTGCATCGGAGGCATAATTGGCGTTTTTATGGGAATGTCTGGTTCGCAGTACTTTAGACTGTATAATCCGAGGGCCGACCCGCTTGTCTGCGCGGTGGGCGTGCTGTCGGCCGTTCCCTTCTGTTTTCTGGCGCTGGCATTGACCGTCAAATCCATAGCCTTTTCGTGGTTTTTCATATTTCTGGGAATAACTCTATTGTCGACCAATTGGTCGGTTGTGGCGGATATGCTATTATACGTGATTACACCGAACCGGCGCTCATTCGCACAGTCGCTGCAAATACTGACATCGCATCTGTTGGGCGACGCCAGCAGTCCATTCGTGATCGGACTCGTGAGTAGCCACTGAAGTACCCATTGAATGGTATTTTTAAATAATTATTTGCATATTTTTTGTCCGTCAGTTATCGGACACATTCAACAAGAATGCCGATTCGGATCAGTCGCGGTTCTGGTCGCTGCAGTACTCCCTGTATTTGACGCCATTCGTGATGGTGTTGGGAGGGTTCGCCTTCCTATACACCTCACTGTTCATTGAGAAGGACAGAGAGAAATGCAAACAACAAACTCAGGGTATGATTAAGACGACAGACACTCATAAGGCCCCACAAACACAGCCACACCATTGACGACAGTTTCACAAACACTTGTATCCCACCAAACATGACAGTAGATAACAAGTCTATCACACCATCGTCTCAATGATTGGCAAACAATAACACAAAACATATGATTTTATAATTATAGACATTTCAGGGAATCTTTTGGCAACTCTTAAAAGTCCAGAGTTTATGAGATAACAGATAAATAATCTAAAATTTAATGTTTCATTTAATGGGTACTTTGATTAATGAATTAAATTCACTTTATTATAACAAATGGACTTTTTTGCACTTAAATTGCGGTACATTTTAAAACTCAGAAACTGAATTGAAAAATATCTCAATTGTTTTGTGAATTAAATTTAAATCTGATTTGAATGACTTGTGTTTTCAGGACAAAGGTCTCGGACGTCATCGGACACTAGTATACATACATTGCCTCCCAGTTCCACGTCTACCACTCTGGCGGCCGATGATAACGTAGTGGACATCGACACCAATAACTCATTAATCGATTCCGACTCCAAGTATCTCATAGACCACTCGTAATACGCGATTTGATGATTAGTTTTTAAGATTTTATTTTTTTGTTGATTACTATATTAATACTAATTGTATGACATTATTATGTAAACGAATTTTTTTGTTTAAAAATTCCTTAATTTATTTATAAAGAGAGTATGAAATATTTATTCTATATATCACTGTTATATTGCATTTGCCAATAACAAGTTTTTATACAATTAAAAAAAACTAAACAAATTTATTAAAATATCAATGCTTCTCTTAAATCAATTATCATATCAAACAAAACAAAGTATTGCCCAAACAGTTGAGTAAATAAAAAATAACACATAGTGGACAACAAGTGTTTGTATTCAAAAATAACTAAATAATTCCGAGTCTTATCTTAAATTCGTATATAAAGTCAATATTTGTATTTAAATTTATGACAATTCCGAGCATATGTTTTCAATCATTCATAAAAAAATTTGTTAAACAAAAACACGAAAACAAAAAGCGTTTTAAAACGATTTAACAGAGATTTTGAGACACGTTTTTGTTCGCATGTGTTGTGTATATCATGTGTTTGTAAGTGTTTTTCATTTAAGTTTAGTCTTCACCGACTTTCCCGTCAGCTTCTGCTGGATCACCAGAAACGTTGTCATTGTGTTGCCCAAGAATATGGCGAAGTAGAGGGCGGCCACGGCGGGCACCTGCCATTCCACGCCCGACCGGTCGTTGAAATACATGTTGTATAACGTGTAGGCGTTGTAGAACTGGAAAAAGTAGCCGAAGTACAGGAACGGCAACAGAAAGCCCAAACCCCTCCACATCCACGAGTGAAACCCTTGGATCGTGATGTCCATGTCGTACCGCTCCCCCAGTGCTCGCAGTCTATACAGACAGCCGTATTGGTAGTAGTATTGCAGGAATTGTAAGAAACTCGAGTAACAGATGTACGACAGGAACTGCACTCTAAACTTGTTGTAACTCTCGCCGTCCGGCCTTTCAATGACAAAAAAAAGTTGGAAAACATTTACAATTAGTCTCGTATTCACTCAAAAAATAAGTTTGTTTTCAATTTCAATTTTGAACGGCAATTATATGCACAAAATAATGAGTCTAAAAGTCACGCATTTCTGGGCTTTCAGTCAAATATCCCAAAAATGTAGACAATTTTTTATACGAATAACTAATGATTTCTATAATCCATTAAATTTTTCAATACAAATATTTAGCAAAAATAGCACTAAATATATAGAAAAAACACTATTTATAGAGCAAACAAATATTAAAAACTAATCAAAAAACTATATTCAAAAAGCTATATAACAATTATACCTATAGTTTGCAAGTTCTCATAAATTATCATATATTTCTAGCCATAGAAACAACACATACCAGACAACCATAACACCGGCCAATATAGTGGTCAAGAAGTGGAGTGTCCGCCACCAGCCCTTAATCCTGGAACCGTTCACCACAAGAATGCTTTCCCTAATGGTAAGCGTGCAGTGATACCACACCAATAGGAAGTGCAGTATAGCATCACATACTCTGCAAACAGACAATCGGATACCACAATCAGTATCGCACATACAGATCACATACCGGCGCTCCGGGCACCGGCTCCGCCGTCGCATACCTGGACTGGAATATCAGGTCCGCCAGACTGACCGCCAGTATCACTGACGTGACCACGAGTTTAAACATTTCGTACTGTTCTTTGTATTTGAAGCGCTGATCGCTGTCCAGAAGCGTTGAATTGATTGCTCCCAAAACGATATTCAGATACAATCCGTTCGGTTTGGGAAGCGATTCGCGGATCTCTTTGACGTGAGATACGCGCGAATCCATTGCCTTCACCAGTTCCTCCTTCGCCTGGATCTCCTCATCACTGTTTATCTTGCATCTGATTAGTCGTACAAATATGGCAACAATTATCGTATCATTCATTCGCCACAATAGGTCTTAAGAGGTGAACAAACATTAGACATACTTTTTGATCAATTGTCTCAATTGAGACACTCTGTAGTTCTGGTGAGTGATCTCTTTAAGACACTTATTCTGGAGTTTCGTGAACTCGACGATCGAGTTGTGATAGTTCTTGTGGACCTCCTGCGAGAGACCATCGAAACAATTATATTAATTTAGTAATCAATGGTTTGCATCAAATGAATGGTGCGCTTGTCTGGAGTGATAACCTCCTAATACAGACCTCGAGTGTGTGGTACTCATCGTTAAGTACTTTCCACTGTTGCTGAATGTCGTTCATATCAACCACGTCTGCCATTGTCTTCGCGTGTTTGGCGGCAAATGAGTTGCAAATGAGTGTCAAATGGGTATCAAATGAATGGTCACACGAGTGGTGACATCAATGCGAAAGTCTCGCCAAACCGACAGTCAATGAAACAAACGATTGAATGAATCGGCGATTGAGTGACGAAAATGTGTGCAAAACTGGAAATACAATCAAATCTATAGTCGTCTCTGTGTTTGGCTTTCAATGCATTCAACGAGAGAGTGATTCCTATGAATGCCAGCAATGAATGAGCGATAAGTTGTGCAGTTTTCATAAACACGGAGAGAGAGTCACAGAGAGTGTGAGAGAGACTGTTATGTAATGTGTTGTCAACTCATAGGCATAGGTATAGAGAAGTTGACGGCTTTTGCCCACAAAACGACTCCGGAGTCGATTCAACACACTATCAGTCCCTCACTGTCTCTCCCCCGACGGCACTGGCGATCGATAATCGCGTGAAACACAGTAGCTGTAAGCGTATACACTGGGGGTGCGGGGGTGTGTGTGGGGGCGTACGTGCAGTCGTATAGGAACACTATGAGAGATACTGGGATTCACTCGACTCACTATCCATTGGATTCTGTGTGCACTCTATTCCTGGGATAATAGCAGTGTTTAAATATAGACATTCACTGCTCTATTGATTTTTGCATTAACCCCATACCATACACACCAGCTCTCTCTCTCTCTCTCTCTCTCTCTCTCTACTTTGAAAAATTTGTATTTTAAAAATGAATATCATTTTTAGCAATATTCTATCGAAACCCCCGGAATAAAAGCATTAATAACTAAAAATTGTTTGACTCCACACATGTATGGCTAACATATTCCTACAGAATATACACTAAAAGTATATTCCGGGTGTTAATAGAGAGCATGAGTTTCAACACCTGTTAAACAAACAAAAATTAACTGATGTGTCGATCACTCAATGGATAAATTAGTGTCACTGTTAGGCAAAGAAAAGAAATTTTATACTAAAAACTACATAAAAAATAGTTTTGATAGGAATTCAACATAGAGTACAAAAGTTCAGTATGAATTCCTATAGCCGGGACACTTGTTATCACTGAATAACTAGTTGACTAAATAATCAGTTACTATTGTACCTTGATCTTAATACTTGGCTAGTACTTATCTATGCACTTTCACCCATGGTCAGTTCCCAATATGAACCGGGTAAAAGTTCTCACCCACTCTATCAGTCCCTCTATTCAAAGGCAATCATAATTGTATTGAGTTTAACGCTATAAGCGCTACATTGACCCTCACAACGAGACAACCGTACAGTTATGCGTCTATTTCTATAGCCAACACACACTACGAGTGAATGGGAAACATCCACAAAACGCACGCATTATCGCTCATTTGCGTCACTCATTGCTATAACAGTGAGCGTCTCATAGCGCGAGTGCTCTCCGTTTGGTTCACGAACTTTATGCCAACGATTGTCGAGATCAAGAGAGAGAGCTCTCAAATGCCATTCAAATCACACACTTCTCTCTCAGTCCGCTATATATCCACTCATTTCGCAGCTATATATACACACATCCAGTCTATACACCACTCGTACTGCATATACACGCTATATATATACATACATTCACTCATAGATGTATATATGGTCTATAAGAGTGTGAGCGAGAAATGAATCCCAATTTACGGTACGTTTTGTGCGGATCTGTGGCCACCGATTGATTTGTGGACTCTCTTCACGTCGATGGCCTAGAGTTTGACGACACGTCCGTGTATTTTGACCACAATTGCATTCACAGCCAATATAGCGATGAATTGATCCCAAGACATACACTTGTGTTGACGAAATTAATTGAATTATCATTTCTCTGGAGTTTAATTGGTGTCCGTTGTGTCACATCTCGTGCAACCACAACCACACACACGCTCATCGAGTATCGCATATGAATTGTCACTCCAACTGATCCCCCGGGCGATGGCACGGGCTGTGCGTGTGTGCGATGAGTGCCATAGCGTTGAGCGGACCCATTGACGGCTCAACCGATGGTCAGCGGCTGTTGCGGTGATCGGCAGCCGACGCACCGAAGAGGACATGTCTCGCGCCGAGTGTCTCGCGTACGACGAGAATGTGCGCAAAACCATTGAGAACTGTCAGACCGCTCAGGCCATGATCGACATCAACGCCAAACACTTGGAGGGGTTGCGCACCGAGTGTGCCATCAGCGCAGAGCTCACCCAAAACGAGATCCGCAATCTTGAGGTACGTTTGCATCCATTGGTGCGCGACTTGTGTTTGATTTTTGTTTGTTTTTTTCTCTCGTTTCGCAGACAAAACTCGTTAAACTCTTCAGCCGACAACTGGTGGCCAAGAAGAAGTGCCACGAAAGCCATAATATCTCCGAACTCAGGCCATACCCGCAGCTGAGACAGTGGCTAAGAGTTGTCGGTTTGGGCGAGAAGTCCATCAATGTTTGTATCGTTTCTATTGACCCATTAATTGATTGCTTTTGTGCCTAAAAATTAATGACTAATTAATTGTTGTTGCGGTCACTCATCAGGCGATTTGCAATCGGATCACGAGTTTCGACGCATTACTCAAGTCGTCGGAGCAGCAAATGAAAGACATTTTGCGCGAAAACGAGTCGCACGAGGAGGAGATCCGGCGGATACTGACGGCCCTCAAGAACCTGAAGCTCTCGTTTGACAAACTCATGGCCGGCGAGTTCCCTCTGGAGCTGGACCTGCACTGGGACTCGTGGGACAGGACCACGTCGGCCACCGGCGCCACCACAACGAACACCGCGTCGCTCACGTCGTCGTCGGCGACGGCGTCGCCGCGAATCATCCGAAACCGAACGGCGCGGACATCCGTACCGTCGGAGGAGACGCTGAGGAGTAGCCCACTGTCGCCGCCCCAGTCGGCCGGCCTCTGGTCCTCGCAAACCGGTTCCTATATATTGAACGCAAACAGCACGACGCCGACGGGCGACAGGAGGACAACGCCGCCGCCCACCCCTCCCGTCGTCAACAAGAAGAACGGGAACTCTGAGCGCAAGTTTCCGACGACACCGCCGCCAAAGATCCGGAACCTGTTGGCCGACCCCTTCCCGCTCACCAAAAGCAAGTCTCATGAGGAACACCTCGCCAACCGAATCGAGCCCTTAGACCCGGCTGTTGCTAAGTATGTCAACTGTTATGTTGTCTTTTTTGAGTGGTTTTTTACTATCGCTTTCGGTATTAGAGTAGAGGTTTTTGAGTGATAATTGGTTTTAAAGGTATTGTGTTTACTGTTAAGAGTTTGAAACCGGGGTTTTGCTTAGAAATAGTGTTTTTTCTCCCATTTATTAGTGTGTTATAGAGTTTCCAATAATTAATTGCCGATACCTTTAGACAAACCTTTATAAACCTTTAGCTGGTAGAGATTTAAAAGCATTAATTTTAATTACAACTATGATTGTAGGCCTAAAACTAAAACTACATTGTTTACAAGCGCACGCGTGATTAACTAAATATAACCTTTTAGTAAAACCAATTTAACAACATTTCTCTAAACGCATGAATTTTTTTTGTCTCTTTTTTCTCCCTCCAAATGATTGCCATATATATTATGAATGCGATTGTGTTTTTGCACCCGAAATGTGTCCACTATTTCGTTGAATGGGTTTTTATGTGCAATTGTGTTGCGCTCTGATTGGGGGAAATGCTGTCTGATTTGCACCACAATTAGCCATTTGCTACTCAAGTATATAAACAATGCCAATCATAACCACCACAACAGTCTGGACAACCTGCCGGCCCATCAACACCGGCGCCGGTTGGCCACCGAACCGGGCTTAGGGCACACGTCGCCCATCATGACGTCGCCGTCCCGGTCGCCGCCAGTGGTGAGTCCCGACCAACAGCACGACAACTGCTTCGTAGACACGCCGGTGGCGCCGCGATCGCCCCGTTCCCACGGCATGGCTCACTCCATACACCACCGGTTCAGCACCACCATGAAGATCAACAGCACCTGTAACCTGTGCGAGAAGCCTATGTTCATCGGTTATAAGTGCAAGGAATGCAAGTACCGGTGCCATCGAGACTGTGTCGACAAAGTGCCCAACTCTTGCGGTCTGCCCAACGAGTTGGTCGACGTGTTTAAGCAGACGATAAACTGTGAGGAGCGCCGTTCGCCGGTAGTGTTGGCGCAACACTTGCAGAACATCGGCGGCACCGGTAGTTCGCGGACTCAAAGTGAGATACTCGGCCGAAAGGCCCACAACAAGAAGCGGACCCACAACTACAACCAGCCGATGATAAACCTGCCCTCCTTTGCCGGCCACGACTCCTCGTCCAACACGTCGTCGTGCAACTCGTCGACGCCCTCATCGCCGGCCCTCATCTACCCGTCGATGGCGTCCACCCAAACGCCCCCTCAGTCGGCCTCCATTGTGGGCTCGCGTGTACAACAGTTCCAGTTTCCGGAGATTTCCTACGCGAATACCATTCCATTTCACGACACCTACAGCACCACCACCACCATCGACGGCATCACCATTGAGACCAAACCGTTCAGCGAGAGTGAGGTGATCGACACCCAGAAGAGCACCGATAGCGACAAAACAGTGTCGGGAACGTCCGGCTCCGGCAGCACGGACTCGGAGAAGACGCTGGCCGGCCGTGTGGACAGTCAGGACAGCCAGGCGTCGGACATAGACCCGAACGACAAGTCGTGGCCGCGACAGAACAGCCTAACGCTCCGCGAATGGGACATCCCTTTCGATGAGCTGAAGATCGAGGAGGTGATAGGGGTGGGCCGGTTCGGGACGGTTCATAAGGGCAATTGGCACGGCTCGGTGGCCATCAAACGGCTCAATATGAACAACGTGTTGGACGACAAGCGCACGATCGAGTCGTTCAAGCAAGAGGTGGCCACCTTCCGGAAGACCCGACACGACAATCTGGTGCTGTTTATGGGCGCCTGCATGAAGCCGCCCCACCTCGCCATCGTCACCTCCCTGTGCAAAGGCATGACTCTCTACACGCATATCCACTTACGGCGTGATAAGTTCAATCTGAACCGGACAATCACCATCGCTCAGCAGATCTGTCAGGGCATGGGTTACCTCCACGCCCGCGGTATCGTTCACAAGGACCTCAAGTGTAAGAATATCTTCTACGAGAACGGAAAGGTAGTCATCACCGACTTTGGCCTCTTCTCGGTCGCCAAACTCTGCGTCGGCAACAGGTCTGTCACCACAAGTGGAGGCACTAAGAGATGACTAACATTTGTGGTGTGTTTTGATTGCTTTGGATTCGCAGGAAAGGCGATTGGCTGACGATCCCCAAGGGATGGCTCTGTTATTTAGCCCCGGAAATAGTCCGCAGTTTACGAATACATAGCGAACAGGAGACCGAAGAGTTGCCATTCTCTACGTCCACTGATGTCTACGCTTTCGGGTCAGTCTCGAGTCATACCATTCATTGGTTATCCCATTATTTATTTGTTGCGTGAATTGTGTGCAGAACTGTATGGTATGAGTTACTGTTAGGCGAGTGGCCCTTCAAAGGCCAGCCCTCCGAAGTGATCATATGGCAGGTCGGCAAAGGAGTCAAGCAATCGCTAATCAATCTTCAGGCGTCCAAAGAAGTCAAGGTTTGTTCCCATTGAGTGCCCCACGAGTTAGCCATTGAAGCGAGTGATTAGGCGCTAAATTGATTGCTTGTGTCATAGGATTTACTACTGATTTGTTGGTCATTCAAAGCGCACGAAAGGACCGAATTTAGCAAATTATACGAAATCCTGACGCGTCTGCCGAAGAAGCGGCTGCAGAGGAGTCCATCGCATCCCATACATCTGTTGCGATCCGCGGAATCGCTTTTCTAAATTAGTTTTCTTATAATTTATATTTAAAGACAAATTATATATAAATATATTAGTTATAGAATTATCTAAAGATTTTCAAAACGAAAACGAAATGAATTTGAAAAATACAAAATCGACAAAAAACTTATAAAATTAATTCTCACAACAAATATTTGCTACGAAACTAATTGACAAAACGAAATAATTTAATTGAATATTTTTCGTCTTAACTGTGATGTTATTATTATTATTATTATTGATGATGATTATGATTATATACCAGGGCATCCAGGTAATTGTTGCTTGGATGCGCCCCGTAGTGAATACAACTCTCATGATATTTGTGTACACTTCATATGTACAGTTCAATTGCAAAACAGAATTTGTTTTTATTTAAAATCTAACAAAAAACCTATAAAAAGTAGTCAATTATTATTATTATATAAATTATAATTAAAAACAAACGAATCATTGCTTTGTTTTTTTTCAATGCAATTCTCAAATAACATACGAATGCAAACCACACGAAGAATATTAAGATTATATTTACGATAATTATAGAGAGGTTTCCGATGATTGATGTAAATGTTTGAATGCTTTATAACTATTTTTGTGTTCAAATGGATACGAAAAACACATTTTTACCGATTAGTCGTTTTATGATTGTCTTTATCATTTGAATCATGTTTTAAATTAAATGTAAAAATCGTATATAAATTATATAAATATATATAAGAGTATAAAAAAGTATTGACGAGAGCTCTATGTCGGAGCCCGACGTTTAAATTAAGGCTAAAAATTCTCACAACATTTTCAATCCATTAGACGATTATAATTATGATATACATAAGAATCGCACGAATTATGTAACAAATTATAAAACCAATACATTATTTCCAACAAAAAGGTTTTGTGAGATTTATTTGTAAGCACTATATTTGTGCTAAAATTATATTAAATTAAGAAAAATGATAAATAAATTAATTTAAAAACTAAACTTTCGATTGAGTTCTTACTTACAACTTACCACTGATTTGAAACGCCTTTCAGTCGGTATGCAAATTAAAATAGTTTTTGTTTGAATCAAAATATAAGACATTCTGTGAACGATAAATGATTTATTAGTATATAATTAAATTTAATTCATTTAATATTCAAATAAATTAAGACTTAAACTTTTTAAGACAACCATTCATTACAAACAGTCATTATTTTTGTGTATAAACTTTAATACAATTAAATCTCATCATAAAAAGCAATACTAATTATGCCGTCAAAGCAACAAAAATATAGACAATTCATCAGCAGATCGTATCAACAAAACACATCCATATCCGCGCACTTCACCACTAATTATCTCAAATCAATGAGTTCCACATCAATGGTGTCACTGAACTGGACATGAGATGATCGTTCGTAGATCGGCGGCACCTCCGGGTGCAGGTGATGGCCGGTTAGCTTACAGGTGGCGATGAGTTGCATGCCGTGCGGGTCTGTGAGCGAGAAAACGCCCACTTCTTGGAACTTCGGGGCGCACACCACGGCTATCGACTCCTGGAGCAGCTGCTGATACGGCCAGTGGGTGTGCAGGTCTATGGACGACATGAAGGCGTTCTGCGTGGGGTGGGTGTGGATCCAACCGACAACTGTGAACCCATGCCTGTCCTGAATGGGGATAATCTCCTCCTCGGCGATCATCTGACACGAGTCGGCCGTTCCGTTCTGTTTGGTGACAATCACCTGAGTTATGGTGAACACGTCGTTGGCTAACTGGGCGCACAGTATGGCACACGTCTCCACATTCCTGTTGGTGTTGCTTTGGGCCGACACTAAGAACCTCTGGATCAGCCGTTGAGGTATTATGACTCGTGAGGTATTATAGGAGTCCAGTTGGAAGTCATTGAAACTAAGTGTCGATGGTTTGGTCGACCTATCAATGGATGGCACGAGAGGTAGGTCTGCGTTGGACGACACGACGGGTGCCGGCGTTTGCTTGTCGTACAAGTCTTGGCCCACATGTGGCCACACTTTGCTCTCTGCGCTCGTGGCCGACGGCTCCCTGACCTCCCGTTTGTCGCGGATCTGTTTGTCTAACTTTTGCTGCAATTCAAGCAATTGTCGGCCTTTTTCTTCGTCGAGCTTTCGCTGCCATTCCTGTCTCTGCTCTTCCGTTCGCTTCTCCTCTTCTAATTGTTGTTTCTTNCCGTTTGTCGCGGATCTGTTTGTCTAACTTTTGCTGCAATTCAAGCAATTGTCGGCCTTTTTCTTCGTCGAGCTTTCGCTGCCATTCCTGTCTCTGCTCTTCCGTTCGCTTCTCCTCTTCTAATTGTCGTTTCTTTTCGAGGATTGTCTGCAAAGGCATTGAAACAATTGAAGACACAATCGATAGGACAGATCACAAGACAGTGCATACCTTTTGCTGCAGATATACGTCGAACTCCTTCTGGTATTTCTCAGTCAACAATGTCTTCAGCTCTTCGGCGATGGGAAAGACTTGTTTGCAATTGCTTTTCGAGAGCGCCTTCTCCTGGGGCTCGCAGTTCTTGTACTCCGTGTGCTGTGGGATCTTCTCGACAAACAATCTGTCAGATTATACGACAACAAAGCAATGGATCAGTTAGTGGTGATCATAGCTATTCAGTGGTGACGGCTATCGCGATACTCACGTAATGTATTTCATATACAATATGAAGGCCTTCTCGAGCGACTGTTCCTCTTTGTAGATGTGGGCCATACGGAAGAGCTCTTTGCCGGAGCGCCAGTACCTCTTGATGGGCACCGACTGCTCAACAGTGATAGCGCCGGCCGTTTGAGTCAATCGCCGGATCCGTTCCGACGGCTGCAGCACTTCCGGCAAATCAGCGCCGTTTAGGCCGTACGCGGAGGTGTTGGCGCTCATGTCTGGCATCTGATCCACCACTTCACCATCCGATGAGACAATGGTTTACCACTGATATTGTCTTTGAAGGCAAAGACTTTTGATTTTTGTTGCAATCAATTGACTGACAGTTTATGCTGTGTGTTTACTAGTGTTAGTCATACTCTTAGTAAACAACGTTACTATAAGAGTGGGTTTGGATTATAGGGGGCAAACGGGTTGTGTGTAAAGTACAGTATGTGTTTATCAAATGTTGTTTCATAGACGTAACGTATTGTATGAATGACTCATTGTAGTGATTGCTTTCACTGATGCAATGAGTTTGCTGTCAAATGTGTTATAAAAGTTTTATTAATTGTTTTGCAATATAAATTTAAATTATTGTAAATACTGGTACCAGGCTCATTTGAGGTTTCATTACTGTGTGTTGAATGTGTGAATAGGAAATAGAAATCATTTTTAAAATAACTAAAAGTGGGGACAAATTACTAATTAATTTATTGAATGGCATATAATGTCGGACCCATGTCTAGTCATTAAAAATTAATTTTATTTATCAAATGATTTCATACACGATTCGTAACTTATGATTATCTAATATCTTATCAGCACATCTACATATACATCCACAATAAAACATTAACTTATAATTTGCTAATTTTTATTACAAAGTTAAAAACTTATAAACTTTGCAAAACTTTCCGATACAAACACCTGTCCCACACAAATTCTGCTACAGTAGTAAGAGTTGTAATTGTGTAATAGTCTAAAAGTATTAAAAATAAAAAAGTTTACATAATAACTAAAAAAGTAAAATAAAAACTAAGTGAATGATACAAAAAAAAGTTCGCGCAGTCGGTAGGATTCGAACCTACGCGGGGAGACCCCAATGGATTTCTAGTCCATCGCCTTAACCACTCGGCCACGACTGCTGTACATACTATACAAACTCTAGAAACACATGTCTCGCAT